TCCAAGTAAGTAGGGAAAAAAAAAAATTCGTTCAACCCGATGCTCGCGAGCCTCACCTAATCGGATAAACGGGACGGGGATGTGGAAGGGATCATTGTCCCCAAAACTGGTACGGGTTGAGTACGGGAAACATAATCACTGCCTCACTATCTGTCCCATTTAAAATTAACTTCAAATTTAATTTTTTTATCAAACAAAAATAAAAATATTTATCATCATTTTTAAAGAGAACATAAGTTATTCTTAACGAATTGAAAAAAATGATAGTATTTACTAACTAAAGATATAAAAAAAAACAAAAGCAAAAAATAAAACAAAAAACAAAAAGAAAAAAGAAAAAATAGTTAGGCGATAAAACCACTACGATCCCGCCCAGTCCGGTTTTAACCAGGTATGGGTATGAGATAAGATGGCAAAAATACCCAACGGGATGGGGTGATAATTGTCGATCCGTCTCATACCCGCACCGTTGTCATCCTTACAGCTGAGGATGGGGTCACAAGTGGCTAACTTAATCTCAAACTCTCATTAGACAATATAAGTATTTTTAATTAAACATTTCAATTTTGTGAATACTCAAACAAAGAAAACTCGAAAAATATGTATGAATGGAAATACATAGAGACATAATTTTCCTAATTAAACTTTATTATTATTCGAGAGACTTTTCTAACGTCGATTGTTCTCATATGTCGATATTTTGTTACTAGTCTAAAATCACATAACATAAAATTATCTCTCATAACTTGCAATTTCCATAATGAGTTTTCTGTAATTAACATATATTCATAGAATAATAATTTATATCCATATTCACTATTGCTATATCACAATATTAAGCTGATTTGCATGAAAAATAACACATATAAGTGAAATTATACGTCGTTTNTCCAAGTAAGTAGGGAAAAAAAAAATTCGTTCAACCCGATGCTCACGAGCCTCACCTAATCGGATAAACGGGACGGGGATGTGGAAGGGATCATTGTCCCCAAAACTGGTACGGGTTGAGTACGGGAAACATAATCACTGCCTCACTATCTGTCCCGTTTAAAAATAACTTCAAATTTAATTTTTTTATCAAACAAAAATAAAAATATTTATCATCATTTTTAAAGAGAACATAAGTTGTTCTTAACGAATTGAAAAAAATGATAGTATTTACAAACTAAAGATATAAAAAAAAAACAAAAAGAAAAAATAGTTAGGCGATAAAACCACTACGATCCCGCCCAGTCCGGTTTTAACCAGGTATGGGTATGAGATAAGATGGCAAAAATACCCAACGGGATGGGGTGAGAATTGTCGATCCGTCTCATACCCGCACCGTTGTCATCCTTACAGCTGAGGATGGGGTCACAAGTGGCTAACTTAATCTCAAACTCTCATTAGACAATATAAGTCTTTTTTATTAAACATTTCAATTTTGTGAATACTCAAACAAAGAAAACTCGAACAATATGTATGAATGGAAATACATAGAGACATAATTTTCCTTATTAAACTTTATTATTATTCGAGAGACTTTTCTAACGTCGATTGTTCTCATATGTCGATATTTTGTTACTAGTCTAAAATCACATAACATAAAATTATCTCTCATAACTTGAAATTTCCATAATGAGTTTTCTGTAATTAACATATATTCATAGAATCATAATTTATATCCATATTCACTATTGCTATATCACAATATTAAGCTGATTTGCATGAAAAATAACACATATAAGTGAAATTATACGTCGTTTCTTTGAATCATTAAAACATATCGTAAAATAGAACTTATCTTTCATAAAAATATAATTTTTGTACGAATTACAATAATTAAAAAAAGTAGAAGAATTACTAAATCATAAAAGTAAAATAATAATTTGCTCAATAATATCTTTATTATACCAATAGTGGTTAGTCCCAAACTCCAATGCCTCAGAACCTCAATTACCTAAAAAGGGGAAAGCATAAACAATTAGATAAATCCCAATAAGTAAGCCACATAAATCATAATTCGTATTTAAAATTTAGGAATTCCTAACCTATATAGGGAGACACGGGGATTAAAAATCAAACTTAGGTGGCCATAATCCCCGTACATAATCATGACATATATAGAGAGACACGAGAATTAATAACCATACTTCGTTGTTACAATAGTATTACTGAACTCCAGTCCTTTGAACTTAGACATATTGGACCCACATTATATTCATTGTTCGATTTCCATATTTTAAAGTATGAAAAGTAATTCAAAATACAACATGTGACTACACTTACCT